TCCCTCTTCCCCAGTTCCTCTCCTCTGTTTCTCTTCAGAGAAGTGCAGACCTCCCAGGGACATCAACCAAACACGGCATATCGTGTTGCAATAAGACTAGACACCTCCCATCATACTAAGGCTGGACAAGGCAACCCAGGAGGAGGAAAGGGTTCCAAAAGCTGTGGAGAGTCAGAGGCAGCCCCTGCTCCCACTGTTAGGAACCCAACAAGAAGACCAAGCTATGCAATCATAACATCTATGCAGAGGGCCTAGGTCAGACCCATGCTAGGCTCCCTAATTGTTGGTTCAGTCTCTATGAGCCCCTTATGAGGCCTGGTTAGTTGATTCTGTGGGTTTTCTTGTGGTGTCCTTGACCCCTCTGGCTCCTACCATCCTTCTTCCCCCTCTTCGGAATGATTCCAAGAGTTTTGTCTGATGTTTGGCTGTGGGTCTCTGCATCTATTCCTATTAGTTGCTAGATGAAGCCTCCTTGATGATATTTTTTTGGGTTTCATGTGTAGGATGGAGGTTTGACTTGCAGAATTTTCCATTTTGTGATATGAACACTACCATTCTAGATAATTTTAAATTTCCAATATGATGTGGCAGGATAAGGAATTGGAAAGAGGTAATAACAGTTGGCTCATGTGAACCAGTATGAGCAAATTCCACCACACACGAGACACTAGACTTACGAGATACAAGCTTCCAAATGTATTGAGCAGCATAGAACAGGCTTCGGAACCAGTAATTTACTTCACCTGTAAGTTTGGAAGAATTTCACTTCAGGTCTTTGCTTCTTGTAAAGGCTATGAATTACCTGATTACCTAATTACATAATCTGATTATGTTATCAAGTATGTATATTTACTCAAATCCATCAGCTTCCAACAGGAGGGCATAAAAACCATGAGGCTTTATCCTCACATGGTCCCATTGCTAAAATTACTTCAAACTACAAAATGTTTGAAATACATGCATGCAACAATAATCCAAATGAAAGGTAGCAGACAAATTGTGTATGTCAGGGGAGGGGAGAAGTTACCTAATAACAAATAAGAGCTTTTGTAGTGGGTAGCCATTCCAGCTTTGATCTGGAAGTTCCAACCCCCATTGAGGCTTCGGTAACTGTCACGCCTACAAGGCGGGGCCAAGAGAGGACCCTGAAGACCGAGATCCGGATGCGCCGTCTCTCTTGGTTCCTGGACCCTGGACGCTGGAGGTAGACCGAGCAGAGTTCTCCAGAGAACAGAGCCGGACTGCGCTACACCTTTTCCAGACCCTGTAGCCTATCCCTTCACTTGTAAGTTACCCCACAAAATAAACCTCCCTTTTAACTGCGTGGAGTGGCCTTAATAATTTCACCAATAGGCTTTTATGTTGTGCTTCCTGTGGTTTAATGTTAATAGGATAATCATGCACACACAAAATACTCCTTTGACATTACATGAAGGAAGTCATTAAAAATCAATAATAATAGTTATCACAATCAATAACTGATACATGTGGTATATAACATGTAGACTTAATTCTCCATCTATCATAAGGACATGTCACATCATACACCAAGAGACATGGCAGGTCAGATGTCTCTTAAGTCCTTTGGAGAGTCCAAACTGTTTCACTAAATTTGAATGGGTTAGACTGACCCTAATGACTCTCTTCATCTGTAGACATTGTTGATTTATTTTCTACACTCAAAGCTAGGGCACAAACAATAGAACACAGCTTTCTAATGTACACACTTATTATGAGGCATGATGTAGCACTACATCAAGAGCAAATGATAGAGTTGGAGAGATAGCCCAGTGGGTAAGAGGCTTTCGGGCAAGCAGCAAGACCTGCACTCATTAAAAAGTTGAATGTCGTTGCACGCACCTAGATTATGGGAGCAGGGCAGAGACAGGAGGATCCACCAGGCTGGGCATGAGCCTAGCTTCACGTTCAGTGAGAGATTATGTATCAAAATAATAAGCAAAACTGATAGAGAAGGACACTTAAAGTCACGAACACATACACACTCCACATTCATATACATATACACACACACACACACCCCACAATCAAATGACATTTGCCGACTCATTTACACAGTATCTTTTCTGAAAAGAACAAGTTATGCTATTAATTTGGAGAACAGAGATTGAGTGTTATCCTGATCATCTGTTGCTGAGTAACAAATCATGCCAGCGCCTGATGGTGTGAAGCAGCCACAATCAGAAGACAGCCCCAGCTCAGACTGGAAATCTTTATGTTGGCCTCTCTGTGTGGACTTGCTACTAGATCTCTCCAGAACAGCAGACCCTGGACAGTCATATTTCTCACACAGCAGCTCGGAGCTCGAAAAGTCAGTGTCCTTCAACAAAAGGAGGAAAATTCCTCAGACTTTCCTTACAAAGACCAGAGATGATGGAACTCCTAGTCTGCATGTTCTCCTAGCTGAAGCATCTCCAAGGAGTAGGGAAATCAATTCCATCTTAATTATTTAAGTATATTTTTAACTCAAAGAATAACTAGAAGATGATAAAATGAAATATTTGATTTGTGCTAAGAAATCACCATGACAAAATAATTACTAATCATCTGAAACTGTTCCCGTACCCCTCTGTGGTTTCCCTTTTGTCTTCCTCTCCAACGCTAGACATCTTTGGCCCTGCTTTCTATCACCACTAACTGGCTCGCATATTCTGGATTTTATAACTATCATATCCTAAAAGATAGGTTCTTTTCTTTCCTTCTTTCTACAAGATAACTTTTCAGTTCATATATATTGTGGGCTCAACAGTTCCTTCACTCATTCTATGATACATTGAAATGGGTAACCTTTATGTAGACATCCCACAACCTGTTTACTTTTTCAGACACTAGAAGTATTTGAGTTATTGGTAATCTAGAGATGTTACTAATAAAGTTGCTATAAGAACACAGAAACAAAACTTTGAATAGCTATATACCTTTATTTTACCTATAAGTGGATTAGCCATATGCTAATATGGATGAGCCATATGCTAAGTACATTTTTAACTTTTTAAAAAACAATCTCTCTCTTTTCCAGAAGGATTCTTAACCATTGTATGTTACCACCAAAATACTACAGTTTCGGTGTCGTTGTACCCTGAATGGTACTGGCTGTTGTCAAATTTCCAGCAATAGTCACATAATGGTATCTCAGTCTAGTTATAGATTCATGTCCTTTGGGACTAACATGGCCAACCATCATTGCATGTGCTCTAGTGTGTCCATATAGACATTCTGATGAAGTGTTTGTTTGAATCTTGTCCATTTAAAAAATTAGTTTTTTAATGTAATTATTGTTGAGTTTCAAGAAATCCTGTGTTGAGTATATAATTTCACTATCAAATATATTTCTTCTGAAGACTTGTGTTGCAACAGATGGAGACCATTACAGAAAACCACAACCAATCATGTGGTTCTTTTTAAAATAAAATTTGATATAATTGTATATTCACAGAAGGTGCAAACATAGCAGTGTTTTCATATAATTTGCCCCCAATTGGTTTTTCTGTTACAGTCCTTCATTTAGTCATACCTACCCCAGTTCTCTCACCATCTCAGCTGTGTGACAAAATGTTTTCTAGGGAGACATTACACATATGTCTATCCATCCCGGATAGGGAGCCCATGACAGACAGAAGCACAGATTCCACCAAAGCACAGCCTGGTGAACCAATGAGTTTTATTAGGGTTATTTATAGGAGTATGGGTGAGGGGTTACTTAGAGGAACAGAAATGACTCAAAGAGCGCTGAATCACCAAGGCCGCCCCCGCCCCCACCGTGACATCTCACAAATCTGGGAACCTGATGTACACTGCACAGCCTGTAGCTAGCTCAATGTGTTAGAGACTGTCCCTTCCAAGTGACGCGATTGGTTTACTTCCAGGCATCTTGGCCTATCCCTTCATGGCTACTGATGAAACATATGCTTTACCTATACCCTCTTCATCAACAAATCTCATGTTTTACTGGGACATAGTATTTATATGTCTTTGGGTATAAAAATGGCAATGAATAAATTGTTGAATGATCAATTCAGGGAAATAAACAGTTTCATTTCTTCAACCATGAATCTGTGGTGGGAATTTCCTACCCTTTCTAGTTATAGTGTTGAGTTTTGAGAGCTCTTCACAAAATATATACAAGTAAATTTTCTAAATCATTGTCTTTACGTGATGTTAAGTAGTAGAATTTGATAATAACTTATTTGTGAAATAGTTATCTCTCATACTTTTCATTCTCATATGATCTTTCTTCCTTAAATAATTTTAACATCCTTTTTGTCTTTTAAGTTTTTGTTTCTGTTTTATTTTGTTATTGCTTTGATTTGTCTGTTGTTTTGAGACAGAGTTCTACTTTGTATCTCAAGAAGGACTGTACTCTCAGGCCCTTGCTCAGCCTCCTGAGTGAGAGAAGTGTATGTGTGCCACTGCACACAGCTCCTTTAATTCCCTTCAGGTGCTGGTCTGTGTGTGACAAATCCTCTATTTGTTGTGTTTGAAACATCTTTCTTTTTAAAAGTTATTTTTGCTGGGTATTAGAACTCATCATGGCTTTTTGCTTCTGTAGAAATGAATCATTTTCTTCCTATGTTTATTTTAAAGAACAATTTTCTTGATCATTGGTTTTGAGCAATTTGACTACCATGTGTGATGATATGCTCATGTTCTTGTTGGAATTCATTGAAATTGTTGGATAATTTTTGATGAATTTGGAAAATGTCTCATTATTTTAACTATTTCTTTGACTCTTCCTTTGCTTAAGGGACTCTAATTTGCACACATATGAAGTGTTTTGGAGTTACCACTCAGATCCCATATCTTTTCGTCTTTTTAATTACTTTTTGTGGTGTGTTTCGTTTTCAATAGCTTTTGTTGCACGTCTTCAAGTTCATCTGTCTTCTCACCTGTGCTGTCAATCCATCCGTGCACTAGCTATCCCAGTTGTAGTGTTTTAAAGTCTTTGGAACTCTGGTCTTTCTTTATCTTCATTATCTCTACAGACCACATCTCTGCCAGTTCCAGTTCGGCTTCAACTGGGTGTGGGCCTTCGGATTTCCCAGTTCCACCTCATTTTCGGTCTGCACTGAGCTTCCTGACTGTGGTTGCAGTGTGATCCTCCACCAACTGCCTGCCACGGGACCGTCTTTGGCATGTCGGAGGGTAAAGGGGTACCACCTCAAGCTGTGGCTTAAAAGACCTTTCTTCTTTAAGTTGCTTCTTGACAGACATTTGACGGCAACAAGAAACGTAAGAAATTCAGGTGCCTTCTGCAGAACTCTGGACTTCCTTGTCTCTGTGTGTTGTCAATTCAGCCGTCAGACCTCATGTCTTTGTCTCCTCAGACACTGAACTACACAAGGAGTCTGGTGGACTCAGTGTAGGCTTCCCTCCCATGACACAGTTTGGAGAATGTGTTATTAATTTGAATCAATTGTGGGGTTCACTTTATGTTTCTGCCCTCTCTTGGGAATGCCTTTCCTTCACTACTTATGCTTGTCGTCACTTTTGTTGTTGCTGTTTCATAAGGAGAGATTATCCCTTTTTGTACCTTGGTTGAGGCTGAAGAATTCTACTTCTTGGTGGGACAATAGCATAGCCTCTGTGGACCAATATTTAAACAACATATAGTTATTATGAGTGCGTTTTTCAGACAAAGAAAAAGGAATCCGTAGTTTGGGAGCTATGACCATTTTTCATGTGCTGTCAATCTTCCCTCATTTCATCCTCATGGGAACCTCAAGAAGCTGGTTTTATTATACATTCTACTTTGAAGCAACAGGTCACCATAACTTAAACTTCAAAAGGGTAGTGTCTGTCTGTCTCATTAACTTCTCAGTCTTTGTCTCTGTCTATCTGTCTGTCTATGCTCAACCTTTATGGTCTAGCAGAGTGTTATTCACAGGGTAGGATATATGGTAGACTAGAAATAAGAAAACAAATTTCAGGCGTTAATCACTCGATACCACTTCTTAACAAGTGTTGCATCTGGTAATTCAAACAGTAGTAGCTGACTGCAATCCCTTATCTATTGTGCCTCGTTTCCTCTGTTCTCAAGAAAATGCACAGAGAAGATAACAACTATAAATGAATTGCTATGTCCTTTCAACAAAGGTTGCCAGGAAAACTGGCTGTCCAAATGCAAAAGAATGTTTAAACCACACTTTGAACAACAATAAAATATTCTAACACCATTTAGAAAAGTAGATCTAAGTAGATTAAAGATCCACAACCATAAAACTCTGAGAAAACATAGAAGAAAGCTTTGCTTTGGATTTGGCAGTGATTTCTTGGGACTCACAACAGAGGTACAGAAGAACAAGAACAACAAATATACAGCCAAATCACACTGTACTGAAATGAAAACTTCCTCTGTATCAAAGGACACTGTGAACAGAAGAATAAAACACCTCATAGAATGAGAGAAGACATTTGGAACTTACATAGCTGGTGAGGGATTCATATCTAGACTCTATGAAGAATTCTTATGACCTACCATCATCCAGAAAAAAACAGCCTTCAACCCAAAAACAGGGAGAATGCTTGAACAGACATTTATCCAAGAAGATACACAGCGACTGTATATTGCTTAGTAGCAGAACTCTGGTTATCTTGACCAAAGCCCTGGGTTTGATCTCTAGAGAAAGAAAAAGAAGGAAGGAGGAAGGAAGAAAGGAAGGGAGAAAGAAAGGGAGGAAAAAAGGAAGGAAGGAAGGAAGGAAGGAAGGAAGGAAGGAAGGAAGGAAGGAAAAAAAGTTTTTCAATTTCAATAATTATTAAGAAAATTTAAGTTAAAAACCACAATGATATATTATTTAACACTCATCAGGATGCCTGTTGTTAAATAATTAAACAAATAGCTATAGAAAATAGCAAATGCTGACAATGGCACAGGAAAATTAGAACTCTACATACTTCTGATGGAGACATAAAGTTGTCGGTCTGCTCTAGTTTCCATTGGGATTTCCATAAGTTAAACACAGAGTTAATATATGATCCAGGAATTGCGCCTCTGATCACATTCCCAAACTAACTGAAGGCAGGCACACAAAGAGGCATTTTCATGTCCACATTCTTAACACTATCATTTAAAACTTAAAAAAAAAAAAAACCAGACAGCGACCCAAATATCCATTGACAGATAGAAAACCAAATATAGTTCATATATACGATGAAATATTATTAAGACTTAAAAAGCAAAGAAATTCTAACATATGTTCAAATTATTTCATTTGCTGAACTAAATAAGCCAGCCAGAGAAGACAAATATTGTGTTATTCCACTAATATTAGATACTTAGAAGAGTCAAATTCCAGAAACAGAATGCAGAATGGAGGTTTCTAGAGCCTAGAAGGGAAATCTGCATATCTCCATATCTCTGTTTGTAATGAGTGCAGTTCCTATTTTGAAAGATTAGTAATATTCTGCAGAAGGGTGGTGGTAATGGGTGCACATTGTGGATGACTTAATTACACTGAGCTATGTACTTAAAAATAATTAAGCTAGGTGTCATGGTGTGTATCTGTAATCTAAGCACTTGAGAACCCAAAGCCAAAGAATGCCACACATTTAAGTCTACCTTGGCCTAGATAATGAATATCAGGCCAGCCAGCGAGTTACATAGAAAAAATGAAAATAAAAACAATATCAAATTTTAAATGTAAATCTTATTTTTATTGATCATAATTTCAGAAAATAATTTATTAGTGCATATTATATAAAAATATCTTTTTGACAAGGGATAATTTTAAAACACATGTGCAGTTTCAATTATGTTTAAGTTTGTTAATAAAACTGTCTGCCTCACTTTATCAATGAGGCTGGCTGCTAGAAGAAGTATTACAAAATGTATCACTGCCTAGTATTTCTCACATTAAGAAAGATCAGTAGAAAGATCAGTATGCTGGGATGATGAGCACAGATCAATGACAAGCGACCCAGAGCCTGCCTGATGTCAAGACCAAGGGCCCAGAACTGCCTGAGGTCTCTTGCTCTCCTGTCCGTCACACTTTTTCCTGGCCCATCATACTGTGAAAGCACTCAGAACGTGGGAACACTTAACTGATCCAGGAGTCAGTGTGGTGTCTTCAGACTTTAGAGCAGTTGATTTGGATGGATTTGCACAGCTCACCTCATATGTATCTTTTCTTTGTATAAGGTTTGAATATAATCCCAGTTCATTATATATACTTTATACATTAAAACTAGGTCCTTGCAAATTCAATATGCGAAATACAACAAACAGATAGGGAGATTACCAAACACCACTCCAACACAGAAATCTTAGCTCTTGAGAAGGTGTAGTATAGAGATCTTCCTAGAAGTCCTTAAAAATGTCCTATGCTAACTAAATTATCTCAGCATGCTGGGCATATTTTAGCCTCACCCATCTCTGCCTCTGTGAGTGTGTGTGTGTGTGTTCCCATGTGTAGGTGCAAGTGTGTGAAGATGCATGTGGATACTGGAATCAAAACAAACAGGGAAGAGACTAATAAGACAGAAAAATACCCAAACAAGCCAAAGTGAAACAAAAGGTCCACAAAAATGACATTTAGTTCATTCTGTGTTAGTTAACTCTCAAGTCCCCTGAGAGCACGGACTTGCCCTCAACTGTGGTTAACATACCCGGTGACACTCCATTAGAGAAAACTGATTTTTCCTTTGCTGATGGATATCAGTTGCAGATATCTCCTTAATTAGGGGTGGGGAGCCCATATTCAGCCTCCCCTCCCAGTGCTGGGACACTGTCTGGCTTGAATCTTTGAACTTCCTGTGCTTGCTACTGTGGTCTCTGTGACTTTGTACATGCATCAGTCCTGTTGTGTCTAGAAGACACTGTTTCCCTGGAGTCATCCATTGCCTCTGGCTTTTGGAATCTGCCTCCTCATCTGTATAGATCACTGAGCCTTGAGGGCAAAGGTTTGATGAAGACATCCTGTTTAGGACGGAGTATTCCAAAGGCTCTAGCTCTCTTCACATGTTGTGGATCTCTGTGTTAATTTCCCATCTAATGAAAGAAGCTTATCTGACGTGGGTTGAATGAGGCCCTGATCTGTGAGTATACCACAGTATAGAGATGTTAACTTTAAATGTAGTGTGACTGAATTGAGAGAGTGCAAAGAAAGAGAGGAAGTTGGAAGGAATGGAGAGACATTGGAATTCAGACAGCTAGAAGTCTATATGTACTCTTGGGTTCAGACTAGACTGTGTAACCTTACATTTGCTGCTTTCTCGGTTAAAGTGATTCGCTCCATAATAAACTGCAGAGACTTAGTAAGACCAAATGGGCTAATATTACTGGGCTTCCAGCTTCAGTATTCTGAGTCCTACCATTCTACTATGTTTAATGGGAGAAACTAGAAAGCTGCATATACCAAGGAAAGAATACCTGGGAAAAGAGTAGATGTGGGGTTCAGTTGATGTGCTTTGGGCTGCAAGTAGCAAATTCCCAGCTATAAATAACTTGAACAGTGGAGGTTTACTATTAGGAATTCTTGAATGGCAGTTTCTATGTTGACTAGTTAATGTCTCACAAATGTCACAGCTGTGGTTCAGCTTTGTTAGTATTCTTGTAGCATCTCTGTCTTGCTACCACCATCCCATGCTCCTGTCTAGTTACAAATGATACCTAAACTAGCAGGGAGGGTGAGATGCTTCCTACACCTGTCTGTTGCCCCTCCTACAACAGGAGATTTGTCTTACGTTTCCCGAAACCCAACCCTGGCATGGGAAAAAAACAATTATAATGAAAACTGCAGATCAATTAAACTTGTTTTATCGACATGGGCTTGCCTTTTCTGAGCTGAGTTCTTCATGACACCTGGGTAAATAAATCAGAGTTTTGTTAGTGATCAAAAAAGAAGAAAGAAAAATGTGGGAAAGCAGAGTAATGATTAGAAAAACCTAAGTATGTCAAGGGCACAGCAGAAACCAAGAGATTCAAAAACTTCACTTTGGTTTTTTGTATATTTGCATCTTATTGACTATTAAAAATTATATACATATGTGCTGTGGGATGTTCTGTATGGCAAATGTGTTGCTAATTAGTCAATAAATAAAACACTGATTGGCCGTTGGCTAGGCAGGAAGTGTAGGCGGGACAAGGAGGAGAATAAAGCTGGGAAGTGGAAGGCTGAGTCAGAGAGACACTGCCAGCCGCCAAGATGAGAAACAGCATGTGAAGATGCCGGTAAGCCACGAGCCATGTGGCAAGGTATAGATTTATGGAAATGGATTAATTTAAGCTGTAAGAACAGTTAGCAAGAAGCCTGCCACGGCCATACAG